TCCCATTAAGTGAAACAGAAATTTCAGGAGGTGCATACCCTCCAGGGGAGGTTATTTTCCATTTGGAAACTCATCAGCTGGGAGGAGAGATTGCGAGAAGGTGATCAGGATGCGGCAAGAAGAGCAGGGAAGCCCAGAGGCACGGGGGGTGTGAGGCACCTCGCGGGGAGCACCCACAAAGGGAAACATCCAAGGATGAAGGTAACTGGGGTGGACTATTCAGTCACAGGAGGACTATGAGGCACTGGACTAAGGCAGCATGGAAAGCCTTTAGGAGTGTCCATAAAGGGATTTCCTTCAGAGGCAGGGATGGGAGATAAAACAGGGATATAATTCTCTGGGGCTTTTTAAGCAGGGTTTGGCCAAATACTGGAAAGACTGCAAAGAAGTTGGCTTAGATACAGAGGATGAGATTCAGCAACTCAGAACGTCCGTTGCCATCCCATGTCTTAAACTTGGAAGTTACATTCACCCAAAAGAAAGTTTTCTGGGTCTGTGAGTAAAGAGGAACAACTTAAGAGAAATAAAGAGCCAGAAAATGGCAAACTAAGCCCAAGACCCTTAGAAAGGAGACTGAATGGAAGAGGCAGCTTAGAAAGTGCCACCATCCCAGACCACCACTTTTTTTTTTGTTTTTTTTTGGGGGGGGGTTGTTTCTTTTTAAGCAAGAACACGCATATCTTTAAGCAAACACATGGGGTGCATCCCAGCCAAAAGGCCCGGGGAACATGCCTCCAACTGGACCATCCTTACCCCCTCCCAGAAGACGCACACCTTGCCCTTGACAGTCCCTGCGGCTGTCCCATGCTCTGAGCAGGAAAACCCCTTCTGCTCCTCTCGGTGGAGGCACCATGACCTCGCTCAAGCAAACCTCACTGAGCTCTGGGTAAATCACGTCAACAAAGCTGTCAGAGTTTGAATGAACAGAGCACCTTGGGAACAGAAGTCATACATTAGGGAAAAGTTTCCAAAAGGACCTCTAGCAAGAAATATTAGGGTTTTTTACTCCTCAGGTAATGTTTCCCTTAATTTCTGAAAATTTCCTTCCTTCGTGGAAGATGGGCAAGAAATATTGAAGGATGTGAAGGAAAAGTCTAGGGTTTTTTCCAGCGCAGTGCTTCACAGAGTTGGCTTTCCAAGAAGGAGTCAGGTAGCCTGCTTGCCCAGGCACTTCTCTTTTGCATGACGTTAGATAACACTAAAAGCTTGTGGCCAAGGTCACTGTTAAAAGTTGACCACGACTGGGGAAAGCTGTCCAGATGCCCACCCAGTTTAACTGACATCGAATTGCAGCATTCGCCGTGACAGACCTCCTGCCACAGCCACGGCAGCGGCTCAGTGCCAGGTCACAGCAGTGTTTTTGATCTCGTGGCAAGAGGTTTACTGACAGCCTGCCAACAGCCATGTCACCTGCACACTTGGACAAGACCTTTCACTGCAGGCACCTCCTTGCCCTCGCAGCCCAAAGCATGACTGCTAGCACACAAGTATGCCACAGCAGGGGATGCTGGTGCTGACAGAGAGGAACGGCCCAGCCAGAGCTAAGAGCTGTGTGGTGGTTTAACCCCAGCCGGCAGCTCAGCCCCACCCAGCCGCTCCCTCACTCCCCACAGCAGGATGGGGGAGAGAAAAGTGAGAAAATTCATGGGTTGCGATAAAGACAGTTTAATAGGGAAAGCAAAAGCCGTGCACGCAAGCAAAGCAAAACAAGGAATTCATTCCCTACTTCCCATCAGCAGGCAGGTGTTCAGCCATCCCCAGGAAAGCAGGGCTCCATCATGCGTAACAGCAACTTGGGAAGCAGGAACTAAACCATCCCGGTGTTATCAGCACTGTTGCCAGCACAAATCCAAAGCACAGCTACTGTGAAGAAAATTAACTGCATCCCAGCCAAAACCAGCACAAGCTGTAAGGATGATGAGAGATGGGGACATGCCTGGGCTCCACCTCTCACCGTCAGTGCCTTTTCTTTAAGTCCTGGCTCCACCACAAACGTAATGGAGAGACCTGAGAGGCACCTCTGAATCAGATCTGCCCCGAACCTTCAAATTCAGAAAGAACAAGTACTGAGGTGGAAAGGAGGGAGTGCAGTTCATGCTCCAAACGCTTCTCAAGGTACAAACCATCCCACTTTAATACCAGCCTCTGTCGCCCTGGGGTGTTCCCGGACAGAGGAAGCTCATCCCCAGCTGCACAGGGCATGCAGAGCTTGGAGCAAACCTTTCAACTGGAGACAAGCCCTCAGGGTACAATCCTGAGCGCCGTTCTGGCTCCATTTCTGCACACAACTGCTGCAGAGCATCCCCACAGCCTTCCTCACCGAGCCTTCCTGGGGCTTGCCAAACCTCCCACCGCCCCAAACAGAAATGCCCCAGGGGCTGCAGACACCGCTCAAAGCCCTTCCCACGATAAACCACCCAAGCCAATGACATGTAAACCACACGCCAAACACATGGCAATGGACAATTTGTTCTTTATTGATTAAAAATTAGAGACATGCAGTAAAATACAAAGTCCAAAAAAAGGAAAAAAGCCTGAATATTTTACATCTTTCATTATAATCTACAATACACCAAAGTTGTGAAGAGGATCCGTTTTCATTAACAGAGCATTGTCCTTACAAATAGAAACTAACTTAAAATTACCACGTCTCCAGGTTCAAATCAGAAATTTGCACAAAACCCAAATTCTTAATGACACTGGAAAACAATTATGAACAGCATTGGCACTTACTGTAACAACATCAGAAAAGACAGTTGTCTAGCACTGTAATAGCCCAAGTAAATATTTTGGATCCCTACCCAAAACATCTGGAGATCTACAGAGCAAAACCCATCAGTTTCTTCCTTACTTGTTTTCTCCATTAAAGAACTAAGGAGCCTTGGATTAGTGTGAGCTCAAGCTCTCTAAGTCCTGGCTTTGGGAAGGTGGGGAATATCTTAATAAATAGATGCTGCATTGTTCCATTTGAGCAGTTCGAGTCCTACCTTTCTCAGCACCAGTACACAAATGAACAAGGAGGTCCCCATGGCACGCAGGCAGAAGGGAAAATAATACTGTACCAAGACTACCTTGTCTTCGGGTCCTAAGGGTTTCCGATACAACCACATTGACTACAGGGTGACATGAAAATCGAGATGCCAGCCTACTCTTCCCAAGCCAAGACGCTCGATGGGGGAAGCCGCAGGGACCGCGTTGTGTCAGACACCAGGAGAAAGCGCCAGAGGTGCCGCACGTGCGTGCACACACGCACTTGGCCAAATTCAGCCACCAACCCCTCCCTGGTATCGGGCACCCGCTTCCCAGGCTCTTGAGAGCATCTCCTCAGCACCCTGTGATACTCTCGCTCCCAAACCCTCTTTCTCCTCTCCCTCCCCTTCACACTCACCAGCCATGGGGCTGCAACTAGCCCATGGGGACGTAGTCAATACCCACCTAGAGGCTACGAGCAACAAGGGCGGTATAAAAAGAACATGCACAATTCGGGAAGCTTCCACAGCTGCTCATAGAGAACAATATATAAATATAGATTGTTCATCTGAAGACTTGGAAATAAAAAAAGTCCTAATTGAACTCAGTCATTCCGCTTTAACACTCTGTTTCTGCATTGTTTGTGGCTGATGGAAACCAAACACGTTTCCATCTGGGTGTTCAATTACAGGCTTTCCAGTTCTCGAGCACACACTGGGGAGATTTTGTGCATCAAAACCAAAGCACAAAACGAATATCACCTCCAGGTATGTCTGGCCCGGACACGGGACACCCCAGCCTTCAAAACACCATTTACTACAGCACAAAGCAATCAGAAACAAAAGGATGCTACAAACCTGAGTGACCAGCCTTCTTCTTCGACTAAGAATAGTGCTGTGGTTTGAGGAGGCAGCTTCATGAAAGGGTGCCAAATATATTCTCTACTTGCAAACAAGTAGTGCAGTAGAGGAGGCCACCCTTCTCTTTCTTTTGTGTGACACTAGATGACATTAAAATGTTGTGGCTGAGCTGGCAGCAGCCAGCCAAGGTCACTGTTAAAGGCTGACCATGACTGGGGAAAGCTGTCCAGTTTCCCACTCAGTTTAACTGACATTGAACTGCAGTGTACACCACACAATTCAGGATAATTCCACAGCTGCTAGTAGAGAAAAATATAGATTGTTCATCGGAAGACTTGAAAATAAAAAAAAGTCCTAATTGAACTCAGTCATTCCGCTTTAACACTCTGTTTCTGCATTGTTTGTGGCTGATGGAAACCAAACACGTTTCCATCTGTGTGTTAAATTACAGGCTTACAAGTTCTGTGTAGAAAACACTCCAGAGCCCAGAGCAGTTACAAAGGCCAACTGTGAAACAGTAGGAGAAAAAAATCAACACCATTTATTATTCACATATTGCATTACAAGTGTCTCTTATCAAACTCAGAGTATAATTTATATTATTCATGTAGAAACTCAAATTCAACACCACATCGAAATAAAAGCTAAATACGTGTGTGACAGGGTTTCAGTGACATCCTGATCAAACGTTGAGGCTTGGGCCAACGAGAAGGCTGACGACCCAAGCGATTAGTGCAGGAGGGACACAGCCCGGCGCTCGCTTGCCCAGTACTACCACTCTACTGGCGATTCTTTATTGCTGTAAAACACGACAGGGACGGTTCCACGGGTACCAGTTTGCAAAGGACTGGGAAACACGTCGGGGGGACTCGCGCAGCCAGGCATAACAGACTGGGTTTCAGGAACAGTTTGAAGTGCATCTTTTCCAAACGCAGAGTGACACAGATCTCGTCTCCCTCTGACCACAAGTATTTTGTTGATCACCTGAAAGACCAGTTTCCAGACAGCAATGCCTCATTGGTCTGCTTCAAGAAGAGACTACATCTAAGATGCAGAATGAAAGACGTTTTGAGGAAGGACTGCTTAACGTAAATTAAAAGGTTCAGCCCTCATGCCACCCCTGGCACTCATGTGGAGAGAACCAAAATAGTAAAAAAGAAAAAAATTAAGGCAGTTTACAAAGGGAAGCTGACTTCTAACACCTCAAAGTCAAGGAACTTCTCAAAAACACAGACACAAGGGAAGGCAGCTCTCCCTCCCGTGGGTTAAGACTTGGCTTGCTTTTTCTCAGGTGCAAGCATTCAAACCAGCAGTTTTAAAAAAAAAAAAAAAACACAGCCGAAGAGAAGCAGATTTCTCAGCACTCCAGGTGACCCAAACGACATGTACATTGGTGTTTCAGATGGAAGGAGAAGCAGGTAAAGAACAAAAAAGATCTGTTCAGTATTAAAACTTGTGCAAAAATAGCAAGTGAAAAAAATGAAACCACATGTAAGCAAACATTTAGGCAAGATCATCAGAGCAGTGGAACCCCCTGCTTCGTACTCAGTAGTATTTTTCTTTAAAGTAAGGCAATAATAAAATGAACATGCAGGCAATGATGTGTTGGGTCTGCATGTTTGAGATGACAGATACAAAACCATGAGAATTGTTTACAAAAGGTGTAAACGCCATCGGTAATTTCAGGAAGGTTTGTGATCCTATTAAGGAAAATGTTAAAGCTTCTAGGAAGGGGGCTGTAGTTCAATTCTTTGGCAGTAGTGGTTTTTTTTTTTTTAGGCTAACAGAAGCATTACGAATATGCACATGTGGGTTCTCAGTTGGGAAACATCTCCTGGGACCATTGTTTAGCTGATGCTGAGCTGTGCAAATCCTATAAGTTTGCCATCATCAGGAATATCTGAGCCTTCGACACCAGATGCCTGAAACACAAAGAACAGAGATCCAAATAGCAACACATGTGCTCTACCCTCCGATACGTACCGTGCTACGAATCACAACAAGGTGTATCGGATACGGTCTGGAGACGGAGCAGTCACAGGACAGCTTTGCACTGTATTCAGCAGCTTGCACTACCCAAAGTTAAAATTGAGCGGTTTTTTTGTCTTTGTTTTTTTTTTTGCCTTTTTTTGAAGCTAGGAAGGGCTGGGACTGAAGTTTTGCCAATGTCTTTTCTGACTAGGGCTATGTGCACTAATTGGGGCAAAACAAGTGAAAACTCACAGAAAGAGTCAAAAATAACAGCACTTACTGCTTCACTACTGATAAACTCGTTACACCTTCGCTTTGCCATTGTAACTACCCCTGAATGTCACCGCCTCTGAAGGATTCATCTCCATTCTTTCTCCTCTCCTAGCCCATCTTCTCTTAGTTTTGGGTCTCCTCTTTTGCTCCCAATCCCTTCCCCCCCCCCCCCCCCCCCCCTTCATTTCTTCCTCAGAGACAATGTATCTGGACCCTCCCCATTCTCCTCCGCCAAGAAAGGAGTCTGCGGCATTTCTTAGCCCACTTACCTGACCTTAAGTATGTCTGCCCTTTCTGGGCAAGTGTATGTTCAAAGCCCAGAAAACACCTTTTTGTAACATTTTTATATGCTTATTAGCCAGGATAAGAGAACGTCTGTGTTAGCTCATCATCTCACACAGTTATTTAACCCAGGTGCTGCTTAGAGGACACAAGCGGGGAGCCTGTGTTGCCTACTGTTAGACAACCGGTAGGAAGCTTTGGGAAAGAAGGGAGGATTTAGAGCGCATACATTAGATGCCTGCAACAGACATCACAGGCATCTATATGCAATGGCTTCTTTTTGCAAGTGACAACTTGTTCAATTAGGGAACAGGAATAAATACCAGTTTGAAAGTGACGGATCTGTTTGCTTGGGGCTCTTCCACAATTTTCTGCAAATTAGCTGCAACTGAAATCACACACACACACAAAGAAAACGGGCAAATATTAGGACAGGCTAGAGAAAAACATCCCAAACTCATTAGGCCTCTATTACTTGGCAAACTTAAGACTTTTAAAATGATAGAAAAAGTTCATGTCTCAATTAGACTCAGTCTACTTAAATCTAAAGCTTTAAACTGAAAATGCTGTCATTTGTTACTATGCTGCTTTTTCAGAGGTAGTTATTTTTTCCTGGATGTGGTGGGATTAGTAATAATAAACTGCCCAACTGCAGCTGGAAATCCAGTTATTTTTGCACTAGCAGCCTTTCCAGATGTTGCAGCCTGTGTATAAGGAACAGTTTTGTTTGCCGTAGTTGAAAAATACAGGCAGTGCTGACAGTTTACAAGTCTCACCTGCTGCACAGGACGCATTTACTTAGCAAACTCTGGCTAGAGGTAGCTGTTCACCTAGCTGTTCATGCTCACTTGAAGTGCAGCAACACGTGCTGCTGCCCTAGTGCGTGCGCACTTCACGCTTCCTTCCCCAGCCCTACTTAAAACAAAAAAAGCCTGGCTGATTCCAGTCCCAGACCTCTCTTGCGCAGGACCTGTGAGCAGTACAGGCTTGTGCAGCAATTTGGCAATGCATATATATGTCAGATGATAATGATTTAGCTAATAGGTCGATTAGCCTTCATTTTGCATTACAAGGAACATTTGCTTCATAATGTTTCCAACTAGATTCTATTCTTGTGGACTGGGGGTTGCCTAAATGTACTGGCACAGAACTGCCACCAGAATTAACAGCAGTTTTGTAGAGCCATTGGGGTAGAGAACCAAGGCCACAGCAAACTCTCCTGGTAGCCACTAATCAGGTCATTTTAAACATGCAAAAAATGACTGAAATGGTTAGAGCAGAAAAAAATAACATGTAATTACCTATTACCAGATCTCTGCCATCAACAAGACCTGCTGAAATGAGTTCTTGAGACACACCGTCAGCAGTATCTGTTGGGGAGAAACCCAAGAGCCAGTCACCACATAACAGAAATTGTTCAACTGATGAAGGCATCACACAGAAACCTAAAGGAGCTTGTACAAACCAAACAGCAAAAGGGTTCTTTATACAAGATGGATATTAGGGTGTACACCAGGTGTAGTCAGACAGCTCCGAGCTATGCTGTCTGAGTTGGAATTCAAAGGGCTGCACTTTGGTCATATCCATGAACAGTTTGACAAGAAGGGTCTTCTCAACAGCAGTGCTCCAAGGCCAACCATAAGGCAAGCCCTTTAGGAGGGCACTGTGGACAGACACTTGGACAGCATTTCCATACACACAACTGCACAACACCGAACACAAAACTTCCTTCACTAAAACCACCTTCACACACTGCAATTTCCCACCAGCTCACCTCTTCCTGGGGTAAATTCAAATCGAATATCATTGAGCTCTTTTTTTGAATTCCTGTGGAAAGAAGAGAATTTTATACAGAAGAAACCATTTCATTGCACTGATCGGTGCCCAAAAGAAAGTGCTCTCATTGAATAACCAGTCTGTGGAGAGAAGGGAATTCATTGCACCCTTCCCCCTTCATAGGGCAGGAACTAATCACTCGGGTGCGCATCTGAGAGCGGGGCTCTCAGCACACTCTGCCTCTCAACCTGACAGAGCCTGAGTGAGCTGAAGTCCAGGATAAGTGAGTGGCACCTCTCTGGTATAAAGCCACATTGTTCCACCGTCTCAGCAACTCTTATCTGTCAGCAGATACATCCTTGGAGCACACCCTTCGGAGGAAGGAAGCACTCACCGACTGCAGATGCACACACCTTACGCAACTGTGCAGGAATGACTGGGAGGTGATGCTCAGAAGCCCCAGTCCAATGCCTATCAACAACCAAGATGCCTACAGAGATGAGAGGCAGGTTCCTTAAATGAGAAACGTCAATATGTGTAATGATAGTAGAATGTGCTTACAATCCTTTTTCCTGCCTATTTCTAGGGACATAGACCAGAATCCATGCCCTGAATTGGGTAAAAGCTCTTCACTCTCAGAACTGGCTGAAGTCTGAAGTTGTGCCTAAATAGTCCGATGGTCCAGCACAAGGCCAGAACCCCCGGATCCCTGATCCCCTTTAGGGAACCCAGCTAATTCCTTCCTTCACACCCAGTTAGAGTTTAGGAATATTTATACAAATATCAAAACCTCTTTCAATTTACAGCTCTTGCGAAACTGAAGAAGTGGATGAGAGAAACTGCTTTTCTGGGTCCCAGTTTCAGAAGAGTGGATGAAATCCAAGCTGACAAGCAACATATAGCCACCACCTTTTTACTTAAAAGGCAGATAGCAAGATGCACTACAGAAGTCTTCCAGTGTCCCTCTCTACAAAGGCTCACTTTAACAGAACAGGTCAGTTTTGTGTCCTTACCTTAACCTTAGTACAAGGCTGATGGGGACTTTCGTATCTTCCTGTACCGGAGCTGTAGCAGGGGCAGGTGGGGCCTGCAATACGATTACATCATTTTAAAGCAAATTAACACTTTCCTTCTCTGGTTTTAAAACTAGAGATAACCTTGATCAACTATAAACACAAATAAAAGTTTAACTCATCATTGGAATCAGTGAAAAAGACGACAGACTAATGAAACAGGAGAACTTCACGTTTAAATAGTAACCCATTAAGTTCTCTGTGCAATTATCTTGAAAAGAGTGAAAGCTACACAACTTTGAGAAATGCCAAAATGGCAGGAGACTTCAGAAGAAATGCTAAATGTAAAAAGACTTCTTGCTTTGCATCAAAACTTAAGGTTTTTGGGCATTCATGACAGCTTCAAGACCTCCTGTGTTTTAATCCCTGCCCCAAACATCTGATTTAAAAACCTGATGCAATTGTGAAGAGTACCTAGAAAAATAATTTAATTGGCAGATTAGCATATACTCTCAGTTACTTTTTTGTGAAATCAAAGGCTTTAAGAGCATCTAGCAGCAATTTTAGAGCTGCCTATTTTCATTTCTAAATTCCTTCTGAGTAATTACTGGAACTTGTAATCAAAGCATTTTATATTGGTCAGCAGCAGATTTCCAGAAGGAAAGATCCAGGAGGTGTCCATCTTTATAGCACTTGTGATACTTCCAGTAAAGGGCTAATTGTTAATCAGTCTCCACCAAAAAAACCCAACCAAAACAGAGGAGGGTTGGTCACTCTGCCACTGCGCAAGTCATCTGTACTGCACATGCTAAGGCAAGGAATTTAAATCCGCAGTAACAAGACAGACACAGTGCTAGGCTGGTAATTTAAGCCTAGAAGTCTTGACCAAGTATTTTCATCTAGATCACTTGCTTTTCCATGAGAGAAAAAACAAAAATAACCCTTTGTTTAAGACTAGCATTTTACTCTATCTGTTGGTGCTCCTGTGCCAGCAATGCAGCTCGGGGCTTCTGATCACAATCTTGTTTCTCTTGAAACTGAAAGCTTTTAGGTCAGTGAAAACAAACAAGGGTTCATAGACAAGCCCAGAGGTCTGCAAAACAGTAACCAACGAGCTACAAGAATCAGAGGAGAGCTGTGAAGAAGAACACGCTGATAGTAAGAGCTGTAAAGAAAAACGCATTGACCAAAAAGAGCTATAAAAAAAGAATACATTGACAAAAAGGAGCTATAAAGAACACCACGCTGACGCAAAGGCATTAAGTTCACCTTAGGACAAGCTACCAACAAATAAGCTATTGGGCACTAGTGGCAGGGAGCAAGATACTCTGCTAGTGCAAATTAAAATACTTTCATTTAGGCCAACACTGCTACTCCAGTTTACCAAACAGAGTCCTGGCCTTCACTGCTGCTGGTGTTTCAACTGCTGCATAAAATTCATGGATTAAACACTGGCCATTTTTCAAGAGATTTGAAGGGGTTTAAGTATTAAAGCTATTTTTAACGTGGCCAAGAATATGTCAGACCCCAACTCTACTATTTTTGTTTAATGACTAATGCACTGTCTTTAATGGTTCTGTAAACAGCTGACTGCAGTGAAGTGATATACGTATCTTTCTACATTCTTTAAAATAAAAATAATGAAACATTTCTAGGAAGGAGTAAGTCTAAGTTATTTTTCTGACCAACACTGCCAAGCCTCTTCCCCTTGGGTCTGCCAAAGGGTGATGCTACCTTTGCCCCATCCAACACTGACAGCCTCTCCCCACCAACAAATAAGAACATTAGTGTCTTTTATAAAAAAGAGGTGCCATCGTTCAGGAATCTGGCAAACTCTGCAGTGCTTTACTCCAGCAAACCACAAGACACGTTCCAAGTATCTCAGTAATGCTTTGGGTTGGCCATTTTTCTCTCTTTAACACAAGTCAGAGCTCTTTCCTGACTTTGCCTGCCTATCTGACCTATATCCTACACTTTGGGGTGGTATAGCTAAGAATTAAACACAGACTTGTCAAGCTTTCACACTCCCTGTACTTCCCCTCAAAGGTCCATTCTCCCCTCTCTGCTTGAAATGGAAGTGTTTGAAAGCACCACAAGGTTCAGAGCTTCCCAAAGATGCAGTTTCTCCACAATTTTTGACTGCTACAAAGACAGTTTTAACCCAGGCCTCCTGTATCTCTTTTGAAGCCTGGAGAAGTTGTGCATTCTAGTTTCCTCCTCTCACTTTTCTCTCCACTCTTATCCCATAGATGCCAGTGATGTCAAGAGACACAAATCAGAGCCTGTTTGTGCTGAATCTTAAACACCAGGAACAAGCAGCTGCCACTTAAATGAGACTCTCCTTTTTGCTTACCTTTTACCTTGCCTCAAGCCAAAGAGTCCATTCCCTGCACAGCAGAAAACGTCACTGCTCACCCACAGAATAAGAATGAAAAACTGCTGTGCCCGCATTGACTGTCTTCCTTCTGCAAGCTACCAGGCCAGCCGTCACTTCTGCATAAGCAGCAGCACTGCCGCAACTCCAGACAAGCAACTTTCATGGCTTTAGATCATTTTAGCACGTCTCGAACAGAACGGCGAAGTGCAAAGCTGAAAGCTGGTATGAAGGGTTTCTGATCTTACCTGGGCTGCTGCTGGGGCTGCTGGAGGAGCCTGACTAGGTGGAGGTACAGCAGTTTGAGGTTGTGCAGGTGCTTGTCCTGCAGCCTGAGGTAGTTGAGTAGGTGCCTGTGCTGGAGCATTGAGTGAAGGACCTGGCGGCTCAGCTGATGGGAATAGCTGCAAGCAAAAAGGCATTTTAATGAGAAAAGGAGCTCAAGAGTTCTGACTCAAGCACCAGCTTTCCAAAAAGTGCTTGTTTGCTGCATAAATTGCTTAGAGAAGTTCACCAAGGGCCTTCCTAGACCTCCAGGACACTAACACTGATCCCAAGTTCATGTTCAAGGGGTTTAATGTTTCCTCGTGTCCAGGGACCCCTTCTGCCCTGATACTTTCAAGTTTTACTCACCAGTAAAGAAGGATAAGAAACCAAGATAGCAGCATGACTGTGAATCCTGGACAAAAATTACACGCTTGCAGCTAGCAAGGCTGGATGCACACAGATCACATCCTAGCTTGGACGAGAGCACCCTATCCTTTACTTTCCCCCCTTTGCAGAATCCGAGTCCTACTTGTATTTCCAAGTAGCCATGCAGTCAGAGCAGAGCAGCTTTGCTTTGACTTGTAGGTCCTTTCAGAGAACACGGCCTAGCAGAGCATTAAGATAACTATCGACAATTCATCCATTCGTAAAACAAATGTCAGAGTTGGAGCAATCCAGATACTCAGCTGTGAATTCAACAAGTGAATTCAGAGCTCAGGTTCTTCAAAACACACAAGACATGGCTGTTTAGGATTGGACTTACTAAGGTAGTTCCTTGCAAAAAAAAAAAAAAAAAAAATCACATGCAATTAATTTGGGGGTGGAAGAAAAGAGCTAAATGAAACTTTAACTTTTTTTACCTCTTGTGTTATTCAGAACAGAGAAACTGATTTTGGCATGGTAGCCAAAGAACTGTAAGCTTGATGGCACTTCTTCAGCGTGCCCTCCAACCTACTCTGCTAAGTTGTAGGAAATATAAACCACCTTGATTACTGAAAACCCGGGCAGCAGACCTCCAAACCACAATATATATCAAGGGATGTATCACAATGGGAAAATTCATCCCAAAGGGATTCTGGTTTTCAGCTTTTTCTTTGAATTTAGAGTTTATGCCAAATTACAGTGGCAGAACTGCAGTCTTTCTTAAGATCTCCCTTTATAATCAGTCCTTGAAAACAGACAAAGGAAGAACAGGACAGCCTAACGCAAGACTAATTTCTAGGAGACAGCCCTGTTTCTTTTCGCTACCTGTGTGGGAAGATAAAGACATAGCACAGTCTCTAGAAGATAAGCAGTCTCTACCATTGAAAGAGAAGATGTACTAATATTCCTAATGTAAGGAACACAGGACAGAACTGAAGGCAGATTATAAATTGCAATTGAAGTTTGCTATTAAATACTACTACAGATTTATTTCACAATTCTGAGCACAGATTCCAAACCAGTGAATTAGACTATGCAAAACAGACGTTTTAAAGTTGTGTTTTGTTGAGTTTTTTTTAAAGAGGAAATTGGAACACAGTTGTTTTGCTTAGGTTGTTCTTGTGACCAATTCCTTATCTTACAACAAACAGACTTTTGCCGTAGCAAGTAAAGTTAAAAAGATATATACCAAACTTACCTCAGAAAGACCTCTTCGCATTACACAGCTAATGATTCCTTTTTTAGAAAGGTTTTCAAGCAGAGCTCAGCTAGATATTCACTTCTACTTCACACAATATTGTTTCCAAAGGCTAATAAAAACCATGTTCCTTGCAACAGCAATAACTAGGAGTCACCATTTTGGGAAGTTATTTGCAATTATAACTTACCTCGGAATTCTGTACAGGTTCTTTCACTCTGGGAGACTGAAAAACAAAGAAAAAGCTGTCACTGCCTTGACAAAAGTGAGACTTAATGACTAGAAGGACTTTTCTGAACCACACTGAACATATGAAATCTACATAATTGTTTTCAAATAATGTATATGTATTAAGATGTGTAATAAAAGGGAAGCCACACAATTTTTTGGCAACCTAAAGCATAATACCCAGAAACATACAGTCATGTTTTAAGACTTGCAGCTGATATTTACACAGTGGCATACAATACCTAAGCTGCTATCATTGTTAACCATTAGCAAAATCCAGTACTCTTGAAGATCACTCAGATTGGATCAAATTACTTGTGCACCAGTATGACAAAATCCATTTTAAGCTACCCGAGTCTCGCAGAAAAAGATAAGCCACACAAATCTGCCTTGCATAATTCTGCTCGGAAACAAATCCCCTTCGTATACTTAGGGAACTAGCTTGCAAACCAACTTGCTTAAACCATACAAAACCTTGCGGAGGGAGGGAAGGGGAGAAATCAGCCTCACTTGTGCTGCTTTATAGAAAGAAGTCTCTCGCCTGCTCTCCTTGCCCTTGGACTCTGCATTATGCTACGCTCTCCGTGAGAGAATGCAGAAAACTGACAGCTGTACACAAGTTCAGCAGCAAAAGAAAGACACTGGTGGAATGGAGGGGAAAGAGCAGTCACAGCAACGCGACCAATCTTTGCTTATCAGTAAAACAAAGATGACGTGCACTAGCTATTTCACATGAGCAGGAAGGAATTGCCAAGTACTCCTGGAAAGCCCTGCAGTTAAGAGAGCCTGCAGCTTTGAATTCTAACAGGTCCAATTACCATGTGGAGACAGACAGGTGGGATGGCTTGGTCCATGCTGGGATTAATAAAACAGATGTTCCTTCTCCACATAATGGTCTAGAAGACAGTACAGGTTTGACAGAAGAACGTAAGTCTCATCATGCCACTATCTTTACCTGAGCCAGTTTATGCACTAACCAATGTCCCTAACTTAACCAATGCTGGTCAGAGCAATTAGTAACATATGACCTAGAGGCCTCTCACGAGAGAGAGTAAAAGCTCTTATTCTCAGAACAGCAAGTTGCAAAAAGCCCTCTGGACAGGAGGAAAAGGAACAGTTCCTTCACGGTGACTCTATGCAGACAGTGTCAGGAAAAAAGTCACACAGCTGGAAAGGTCAAGCCTGAAATCCATCTGAATATGTTGAGCCTTCACTTGACAGTTACCAGGCAAGATGAAAAACGTGGCATTGCTCCCAGAGATAAACAGCCATGCTCCACATCCGCAGGCCATGGCTGCAGCACTGTTCTTTCAGGCACAAGGTTCATATCCCAGGGTACCCAGATGCCCCAAGGAATAACTCCAAAGGAGCTTTTCTGAAAGATCGCAGTGTGCTAGACACTCTACAGACAAGTACGGAAACACTGGCCCTGCCCCACGGCTAGCAACTAACCCAGATAAGCGGCAAACAGAGGTAAACGAAGGAAAAACATGAAGAGACAGAAAGGAAATGGGACAAACATTAAAAGATGTTTTACCTAACTAAGGCAGAAATAAGATGACTTTGGGGATGTGCTGCCATGTATTAGTTCTAACTTACTTTTGCTTGTGTAACCAGAGGTGAAATAACCAGCGAAATGTGACCACACCGCGTGCCACTGCACAGAGTTAAGCGAATGATTTAAGAGCCCACATAGCACAACTGCTCTAATTCGAATTCAAGGTTTTAAATACTGAGCAAAGAAGTTCAGTAAGTCTTTATATCCAAAAGGTAATGTTGAGCCAGCAAGTCAGCATATTCAATGAATTGGGCAGATATTTCTGGTTGGTTGTAATAAATATTTGTCTGCTTTCAGGAGCAGTCCTAGGACAAGACTTGTAAAATACATGTTTGTACATATTAAATTCACCGTATTTTTTCCGTAAAGTGGAGATGAGCAAAAAATACAAACACTTTACATTTATATAGAAGTTTCTATGCAGGATAATACTGAACTATTTTAGCAAATCAAGTCAATCTGCAAGCCATTCTTTTACTTTAAGACTGACAGCAATAAAACACAGGTACAGCCGGACTCACAGGATGGTTCGGGTTGGAAAGGATCTTTGAGGATCCATGTAGTCCAACCCCTCTGCCGTGGGCAGGAATAAAAGGTAACACCTAGTTAATGTACATTATTCTATCTTACGACTTAGTTAAAATTGCAGAGGGATTACAAGCAGGTGAAATTTACACCCCGTGTTTGAAAGACGGCCAAAACACAGCTTTAACACCAGTCCTCAACACCACCACCGCATTCGTGGCGAACACTGGCAGTTTCAATACAAGCCTTAAGACCGCTCGAAAAGGGATCCAACGCAGGAGGTGCACAGGCCTTTCTATGCTTTTGTCTTCGGGCTGAAGGAAACGACGCAAAAGCTGCGCGCAGGGAAGACGCCCAGGGCAGGAGCCAAGCGCCGAAGCAGACCTGTAGTGACTTCTAAGATGCCACGGTGCCCTTCCTGACCTCCAGAAAGGTACAGGTCTCCCAAAGTTCTGCGTTATATCTACACAGGGTGCCTCCAAAATGGCAATACACATCTACCTTTAGGTAACTGAATTGAGATCTACTGCTCCAACACCCATCCTAAAGGTTTCTTGAATGGGAAACCTAGAAGTAAAGGCCAAGCATGGCCCAAATTAGAGAGATCAGAACAGACAGCAGCATAAGGATATATGCCAAAGCTCCAAGAAAAAAAAAAATTGCTTGAAAAGGAGCTTGTAAACATGTGTGTCAATCTGCTCTTTTCTGCATAAGAGGAATTAAACAAGTAAGTACTGTTCAAAACACAGTAAACAGTGCTAAGTCATAGTACCCTGAGCTTAGAGACACGACAGACCAAGTTCTAAGTAATCTCTGAAATAGCGTTAGGGTCTTTCATAATATTCCCTCCTGAAATTTGATTATATTTTAACTTACAAAAGGAATTTAGAAGATTTCAGGATCAAAAATTTCAGTAGTATCCACCTGGTACCAACAGACCCTCCTTGACCATGTAATATGAAGCTGGATATAGTAAGCACTTTAAAAAGACACAATAGTTGTTGCCACAGAGTATGGAATTACTATATCTATAGCAGCCTTTAAAAACCCAAGCATTCCAAAGGACGCCGAAAAGATGCAAAATCTTGAACTTAGTATTTAAGTGTCTCTAGAGAAGACCAGTAGAAGAAAAAGCAATGAAAGAGAAACGAGAAAAATTAAAGCTGTAAAGTGATAAATGCTTCAAACCAATAATACTTTTTTTTTTAAACTTTCATATTGAAAAGCTCCCTCTAAAAATCCTTCACTGTCTCACTAATTCAATTACAGAATGATTAAAATGCATCGTTCGCTTCAAATTACCTGCTGTAGTGAAAAGGGAACCGGCAAGCCATCACAGTGAAAATCCACACTGCTAACTACCGGGAGGAAGATAATCCAGAAATTTATTGTAATCTTTTAGTTGATTACAATGCATTACTCCTCTGTGTTTCTGGGGGTTAGTCTGGGCTTGGGGTTTTTCGTGTATGTGTTGGGGTGGCGGCGCTTATTTTTTTGAGGATTTTCAAGTGCTAGACCAATCACTCCTTGTGACTTTGGGGATGCCATAACATTTTCTACTAGCACTAATCGATTTCAGTGTAACCAGAGGGACAGAACCAGGCTCTGTGTATTTCAGATATCAGCCATAAGCACAGGCCCTATTGATTTCAGCTCCATCCTGGAGAGGGCAGTAGGACAAAACCTCTCCTGACACTTCCAGAAGAAAGCATCTCAAACAGTCAGCACCCTTAAAAACAAAGAGAATATCCTAGCTCAAGTGAATTGGTATGCTGAGCTGGGAGCAGACCGTCTGAATTCATGTTCCCAATTATGCTCAGCATCCCTGAATGAGACCAGCTGTGCCCCAGAATGATGACAGAGAAGAGATCAATACAATTTCTTCAGCCTTCGGTCTGCTTTCTCTGGTTCGGCTACAAACTTGAGGGGAGGGATTATAACTTACCTTGTATCATAGTTAAAACAAGGCCACATGCTTCCCAGGGGTATTTAGACGTACCACAGTTAGAAAACAAAACAGACACAGCAGAGCTATCGGAGTTTGAGGACCCACCCTGAGCTGTGAAATTGCTGCTCTGCCTTCCTCACTTTCTTCATCTAGCTCATCATCACTCCATTCCCAGCCACCATCTTCAGTCTTATGAAGACGTCCACTGGAACCTGGGACTCTCCGGACCTGCTCAGCACAAAGACGGAAAACTGGTATGTCAAGCAGACAGTTTCTACAGTTGATCTTTTTTAGGAGAAACAGTGGAAAAGCATCTTCAGGTTGCACGATCTGCCAGGGCATTTGAGTATTTTATTGAAATATCTAGCTCTGTATCTAGAAAATGCCGTACTACAATAACTCTCATTAAAAATGTGAACACAAGCATAAAAAACACCTAGTATGACTGTAACAGCAAGGGCCCAGGAGGTTTTCAGTACCTTTTTGGATCTTTCGGTGATTGTTGGTGCTCTCTGCAACATCTTCTCTTGTAAAAATTCTTTATTCTGCAAGAGACAAAACACCAAACATTTGCATTGCTGAAAATGTCCTTTGATTCCTTCAGTGTCTCCGATAAAGAAACTGTTAAGCAATTTCTAGCAGAAAGTGTTTTACATGTTTCACCCCCATTCCCCCAAAGATATTAACCACTTTCTTCCTCTACACTACAGTATATGATGTTTCATCCTAAATACCTTTTAAGCTAGTGATGGCACTTTCCCTATGCAAAGTGATAGGGAATTAACAATCGAAGAGTTGTATACTATTCCGACTGATTTACTAGGGAACGTGCTTATACTACTTATATCCCAGCATCTGATACCCTGCTGAGACATTTGGCATTCTTCCATTCGCAGATACTACACCACCTGGATCCAGCCACTTGGCTGTATCTTGCCTCTAAATTTATGCCTGTCCAACTGTCAAAGGCAAACCTCAGATGTCAGGCAGGCCGGGATGCAGGAACCTATGTGCTGGAGTAATGAGACTCAGGAATTAAGGCAACAGGAGTTAAGAGTGGCTGAAAAAACATACAGCACGTGACATTTAGAGAGGAAGTAAATGCGGTGATCGCAACAGACTAAATATTGGGAAACTGCTGTGATGCTTTACTGTATTTAATTTCCTCTTCAGCAAGCTACTCCGGACTGGCTAACATGTGGGCTCCTGAGCGTACCGTTTGCCAACCGCTTGACTACAGAGCCAAACGGCTGGCTGCAGAGGAAGCAGGCCAGGCAAGCGCCCTGGCACCAGCACTGGGATCTGGCTGGGTGTTTCACACCACATGAGTGAGGTTGGACAGCCCTGCCGTCTCTGCCCACGAAGCGCTCCCAGGACTCCCCCGCGATGGTTTCTTGCACGCAGGATGGCGAGCCTCAAGACAGACGCTTTCCCTTCCTGATAAGTGGCTCTCAGCATTATCAAAACATACTTTTACTAACATAGACCTTATTTAAATTTGTGGTTCAGTATAGACGTATAGAAGTCTGACCCTTCTGTCCTCAAGTAACAGCTGTCAGTTTGGCAGTGGCTGATGTATGAAAGCAATTTAACACCGTGTGTTAACTGGCACACATTTTCACTCTGGGTGCCGGTTTAAGTATTGCCTCATTTACAATAATGTTAATTTTCTATCACCACATATGCTAATATGTTACTCTGCAGCAGCTTAATGAAAGCATGAAGGAGATTTTACACACAATGAAGTATAACATGAACCAGAACTCGCATAACCAAACGGAGAAAGGTCAGCAATGCGTAAACCATCTTGTCACTTTGGACACCAAGTGTGCATCCAGTGTACAGATGCAGACTATTCAGTTGCCCAAAATCCCATGATGGACAATGAAAAACCTACTTAATACCGTCAAGAGCCCAGGCATCAGTTAAACTTGCCCTAAAGCAAACTCCTACATTTCATAAACTGGATCGCTCTCTAGATTTTTCCTCAGTTGCACTTGTTAGATTTCTGTCAACTTTAATAGGACATCCAGCTCCTGTACAGATACCTAGATGTGGCCACTTCCATTTAAGCATCTTCATCTGGAAGCTGAAAACTACTTTGATTAATTGGTGATGCTGCTGTGCTAGCCCCGGTATCAGGTATCTTTTTGACAGTTTCATCTCCGTTCTGCTATAAAACCTATGTATTTCGATCACAAACACACCACAGAAAAAATAAGCACACAGAAGACATTTCCTCATTCCCATGGAAATATAAATTCTCCCCTGTATTATTTCTGTCTGTCTCCCCAACAAGACCTTGCACATTGCATATGCACTAATCTCCAGGCAGTAATTACATAAATGCTCAGTGGCAGATCACTTCAAGGCTAGAAATGGGAGTTACCCAGTATTTTGTATCACAGGATCTTCACTTTCCATAAGGCAACACAGGGTGAAATAGTTTTAGGTAGCCCTCTGCACAGTGGGCCTCATTCACTGCTTTGCATACAGACTGATTATAGAGTTTACTAAAATGTAAGTTACGTTTACTGCCACAGAGACCTTTATGGTTGGACATGCAGCCAGAATGGCACCGTTACAAGAAGATAAACCCCCAAAAGGCACTGAAAGACATTTAAATGCTCAAGAATTTCTAGATAATTTCTCTTAATAGCAGCATACACAAGGAGGCATGGAAGAGGGGTTTCATTCTGGTCGTTCACAATGACCCATTCAACTCACTCAGCTATGCTGGCCCTAAGTGAAACAGCCTACATTCACACCAATAAAGCTGTCACCATTACCTATCATACTTCTGAAAAGTCCTCTCCACAGCCTCTGCACAGATCAGTTTAGGAAGTGTTTTCTTACCTTTGCTTTCGTGAAAAATTTGTGTCGTAAGAGTTCTGCTGCTGTCGGTCTGTCAATAAAAACAGATGTAGAAAAAAGAATTATAAAGGCTCCCTTTCAACACAACGGTCTCCCAGGTTGCTGCAGCTTGTTGTAACATGGCATCTCATAAGGGCATCGGCTTCTCCTGCACAAGTCCCCTAAAAATCAGTCAATGTATTCCAAGTAAATTTTACACCAGCCGCCTTTTAAACACTCAGTGTATTCTGATCAAAGCCTATTCCGTTCAAAAGCAGTGAATAACGTGGGGGTAGGGGGGAGAAGTTGCTCCCATTTTGATACTGAACTTGAATCTCTTGGAGCCGGTTTGACAGAAACAATTTGTTTAAAATTGAAACGAAGGATCATCACCTACTGCAGGAGTGCAGTACTCGTCACGTGCAAGGAACAGAGTTACTTCAGAGATACTTGATTATATGTGTGTCATTAGTTCTATTAAACACAGGCAATCAACCTTTGCGTAACAGAAAAGGAACAAGTACAAACTATTTTCCCCTTTAAGTTAGACTTTAGGATAAATACTGCAAAGTAAAACACATCCCTTGGTCAGTTCAGGAGCAGCTTTCTAAAGACTCAGGCCTACATGAGAAAGTACCAGCTTACAGCATTTCCCACACTGCAAACTGTGCCTTAATAGTAACAGAGTTTAATTAGTGACTTGCAAAGGCCATTCATCACAGGGTTTATTTCACCTCAGACTACTCTAACAAAAATCATCCACCTTACAGCAAGGGAGCCCCCAAAATAATTAAAAAGCAATTGCATTAAATTCTCCTTTTTGAGAACCCATACAATATGCATAAGCATATCTGATTCTGCAAGTTGCTCTGCACGGGCCGACCTCCGGCTCCCACAGCCAGGATGATGGCAGCGGCTGTTAGCGGTGCTTGAGAAGAGAGAAGGGGTATGCCACAATTCAGAGTGATTATGTTTAATTCTGACCAGCACACGTTCTAACCTGCAGGGACAGGATATGCTTTAGAAAGGAGAAAAAACATCATGCTGGGAAAAAAACCCTGCTATCAGCATTTATCAGGCACTCCACTGGATTCATTAAGCATTTCAAGAGTAAAGCTTGTTAGAAGAGAGAGATCCCATCTCACAATGCGTGAGAAGCCTTTGCTCCCAGATCTGTCACAAGAGGGAACTGAAAAATGTCTTCATTATTATTTTACGAAAGGAATTTTTCCTTTCCAGAATTAGTTTGCTTACTGACAAAAAAAAAAAGAGGTATAAAATAAAAACTGATCTGTGGGAATGCTTGTTTCTTTACCTTTTTAAGGAACTCTATTTTTAATGCAGGATGAACACTCCTTTAAACAGCTTCACAGGCTGGCAAATGCTACGACTGCCCTCCACAGAAACATGCCTGAGCTCTCCTGTGTGACAGGCTGTGGGTTTTAAACAGTGCCGTAGACAGCCGGACCCTGGTGCGGCTTTGAACACTGCCATAACATAATGATACAAAGCTGTCCCGGGAACCACAACATATGCACCACCCCCTCGGCAGTATTTCTAACATCAATGAGTAGCCAAGCTACTGTTACAAAGACGACTGAAAGTGTCGTCAGGTCACTTAAGCAATCTGTATTGATGAAAACATGTTGGTAAAATTTGCCAGTGTTTTTCCTGATATTTTACCCCCGCAAAGCAAATATTACTTATAATTAAACAAGTCAAAACTACACTGAAAGCCTGCTTTGCACTGGCAAATTTTAAAAAGTTTATTTGTGCAGCTTCGCAAGAAAACACATATTGCCCAAGGTGCAATTTCTAATTTATAAACACAGCGCTGTTTTGACTGGGAACAAAACACGAACTGCAGTCACCTGCTGGAGGCAGCAAGGGGGAGAATGGCACTACCCACGCGGTGGACTGGGATGCACTCTCATTAGCCCAAATGGAAGATGTGTGCCCTGGCCAGGCGTGACGCCAGACATTTCTCCTTAAAAATAAGTACAGCCAAGAGAATTTGCTGCCACACAGCAAAACTGCTGTGTTCATTGTGACTGAAAGGCTGGAGGGGCAGAGAGTGTACCAGCTTTAAAAATGGGATACAATGAGTTTTGTGGTTTTGTTTTAGGGTGGTTTTTTTGTTTGTTTGTTTGTTTTAATTTATTTTGGTGTTACCTGTTCTTACCTTTTTTCGGGGTCTTTTTGTAGGCACGATGAAATCATCTTCCTAAATGATTTCCCATACTTCTTCAGCATTTCCTTATCTTGCACACCAGTTTCCAAAGATGGAGGATCATTTTGTAGCGTCAGCATTAAAACCTGAAAGAATTATGTCTATTGGCAATGAGATTTTTCTTGGCCTTTGTTAGAGACAGATCTTGGGAACACTGTATTTTAGACAAGCATTTCCATCAAGCATCTGAGTCAACAAGGATTATTTCATTACAACGGCTCTCTGAGGGTAGCCTGAGCTCAGAGCGAAGTTTCTTACAATTTATACTGTCTCCTCGCATTCACCAGACAGCAAAAAAACTCACCTACCTTTTCCTCAAGGCAATTACAGGGTCTCTACTCTTCCTTCTGCTTCCCACATTCACTAGCTTTGTAGAAACAGCTATTTTCAAAACCTTCACACCTCTGCAAATTCTGTCAGCCAAGAGGTTCAAGACTCGTACAACAGAATCTAGAGAGTCACCTCCACCTCCTTTCCTTGGGAAGCCAGGCTAATTTACACCCAACAGTTTATGCTACTGTTTTCCATCGCATCTCCTGGCCCACAGTGCGGTCTGCGGGCCAAACACAAGGCTGGGATGTGCTTTCAGGCCTGTTTGGTGTGATTAAAGGTGTAAGCATAGCAGAACTTCTACCAGCCTTCCTCATCTGAGATGAGCAGTTGTGCAAGGCATTTGATTCAAAGGCTCTGTTTAGATCTGCCTGCAGGTACTTCTTAGCTAGAAATGAAATCAATGTAAAAGCAGAAGGGCAACATAAAAAAAAAATACGAGGCTTCGCTTCCATGTACCAATGCGACAGCAGGTGAAGACGTTTCTCACACAAGCACCCATCAAGCCAAACTGATTATTTCCTTCACATCACTCAGATATTCTGAAGGAAAGCAAGAAAATGACTCATTTCCATTTTCACTTGTCACCTACATACAGATGAATATCTATTTTTAGAAAAGGAAGCAGCACATAGCACATTTAAATAGCTTTCAACAGCTATACTGCTTAGGGCAGCAAAAGCCCATCAATCTAGCTGAAATTATACATCCAGGACAGAATCCCCTGCTTTTATCCCCTCTCCTTGGAGGACCACTTAATGCATGGGTCATTTTGCTCCGTAACAAAATTAAGCTGCAGTGAAATACAATTGCATTCAATAAATAAAACACAGAAGTCCTCTTGCAGGCTGCATAACTGGAACCCAGACCTAATAGAATTGGAGACTCAATTCTATCCACCACATGACAACACACGATACTAAGTAGGCGATCTTTGTATTCAAAGCTACAACCCATGCATTCAAAACACAATAAAGAGAAGGACAGCTTGCAGAAGCTACTGCAAAACGCTACCAATAATCACAGCACAGAAGGAAGCATCAGTGAAAACAGCAACAGCTAAATCAGCAACACCATTCCCTGAACTGCTCGCTGCTCTGCCACAGTCACTGATACGGTACGAACTTCAATGGCATTTCTAAACCACTCAGCTACTGAACAGTCCCTGCACAGAGATGACACTAATCTTAAAATTAATACTGTCCTATGAGAGTTAAATGAGTGTGAAGTCCTGGCATTCAAAGCGATACACAGATGTCCCTATTCTAATGAGTTAGGAGCTACTGGATTCCCAAATGCTGTTGTAACTGAGAGGTGGAGATGCACCCAGGTCCTGAAGAAGTGACACCCACCTTGCAGAGCACTCCAGCAGTCAAAAGACTCAGAAAAGGAAAGCTTTTCCATTGTATGCCTACAGCTGAGGGACTTGGCACCCATAGACTTTATATCCCAGGTAAGTAGTCTAACCTAAAGGTTAGAAAGGTGTCTCTACCCCTCCTGTTCGATTCAAGGGAGTATGCATCTCAGGAGTAGAAGAAAAGTGGCCTTCAAGTGGGTGGAAAATGAAGAAGGGACTAAAAGTTTCATGACTGAGACAGAGCCCCATCAGATCTCAAAGGGGCTAAGGAAGATGATATCAAAGCTCAGTAGAAGGACAGAATGCTTCAGACCTCAACTGATGGGGTTAACTCTGTTAACTTTAAGATGTAGACACCCTGAAAGAAAAGCATGTTGGAAGCAGCTCCTGGTTCGAGAATCAGAAAATAGGGAAAGTCAGCCCAAACTACATGGCACTCCAAAGTTCAAGATATTTAAAAAAAGATTTTTGAAGTGTTGGTGCTTAAACAATAACGTTTCCTCCACCTCAACTTCAATAAAATATTCATATTGCCAATACCACGCTATTTCATACTGATGCGGTACTTTTCAGAAATGCCCTACCCTGGTTCGGTGATTGACAGGACTGTGCTGGCATTAAACAAAATAAGATATTCGTTTGGATAATTGTAACAGGATTTCTGAGAGGTATCAGGAAGGATTATCAGTGCAGGAGAAGGAATGGCTCGCCATCCCAGTGTCACTGGATGCCAGATAACATTTTCTGAATCATTATTTATATCCCTAAAAACATCTGCTGCCTTCAGAGGCTCCAGGATTAAAACCCACAGCACTCTCCTCAGGAATGATGACGCTGGCGAGACTCAGGATCTAAATAAGAACTGCGCACGGTTTCAGACAATGCTGATTAAGTGGCGTATTTTTAAAAAGTGACTTCAGATAAATCCAAGAACATTGTGATCCACAAATGCAAGTTGAGAGGACAAACTCTTCAACGAAGCGTGCTGGCCAAATTATTGGAAACACCCACAGAACACACTGATCCTTTATCTTGCACAAGTATCTGGAGACCTGCTCACCTTCATTGGCGGGGATTTATGGTAAGGAGCTGCCCCTGTAGCCAGTTCGATAGCAGTGATCCCAAAGCTCCAGATGTCTGCCTTGAAATCGTATCCTCTGACCTGAAAAATATTAGAGGATGTTAGCATGTGCTTCTTGCTGTCCCACACTTCTTTAGCCTGTTACAGATCCTTTCGCCCTTTCCTTCCTTTCCCTTCGATTTTGGAAAAAGCAGTGCTACAGTGTTAAAGAGATGGAAAGGACACTTTCTCCCTCCTCTCCCCCCGGCTCCTTATACCTTCAAGGAGGTGTTTTAGAAGTCACAGTCTGATGAAAATTCTGGTTGTGGAGTGTGCAACTAGGACTGCTCTGCCATAAACCTCTCCGTGTGCAGAACATAAAGGGGCACTGGGTTAACCCCGGCTCCAACTTCTACACAAAACCACAGAGAGTCATTAAATATATAATATATATAATGAAACTCTCGTAGTTAACAGATGGACTGTTATCCCCTTGGCACATACACCTCACTACACTTCTAGTCAACCGCTTAATCAATCTGACTGCAAACATGCTCGATCCTGAAACTTCAGTACACACTACTACAGTAAAAAGCCCCTCATTCCTGTCTGCAGACTAATATTTCCCTCCACTAATTAATAGTAGCTTCTGCACTTGACATTAAACACGGACTTGTTCAGGAAAATTTATAGCATTTACTTCCCCTCATGGACCGGAAAAAATATTTCATACGCCAAAGCGGTTACTTCCTCATTATCATTAGGTAATATTTTGGCACTTGCTTTCTCCACTGCAGGGGAGAGACATTATGTACTAACTTCAAGAGCAGCTACAAAAATCAAAGCGTTTTGGCTGCTTAGAATGGTTTGTATTTCTTCTCACTAGACTATGGAAAAATGAATATTGAATCAAAGCTAACAGGGATATTGCGTTCAGCTAACCTAACAAGCTTTAGAAAAGACACTCATTGTGATGAAGGCAAAAACGTTCCCCAAACTACCTTTAAGAAGATCTTGAATTTTGGCAAACAAACAAAAAACCCCTCTTGCACTCTTTTTCACATAATACTATAGTTGAACTGAAATTTATTATAGCAACAGGAGTTTTTATCTTGCACTAATTTCATCAACTCTGTAGGCACCATTTTCATAAGCCTTAAATGTTTAAAAGCCTTCCTGAAGTGCTGCAGTTTATGGATGCCATGATTATGAAAAGATTTCAAGTCATTTAACTAAACAAGCACAGATACCTAGTATAATTTAAAATAGCACAGTGCAGAAAGAAATATGCTGTAAGGGCTTTTTTATCCCCCCCCCCCTATTTTTAGGCTTTGAGAATAACTTTGGGACATTCTTTAGCTTTATCTTTCATTTAGCCTTGCAGCACATCTCTACACTGTACAACTCCCCATTCCCCACCAAGATTTCAACTGTTTAGTGTTTTTTTGTTTTGGTTTGGTTTTTTTTTTTTTGTTTTTTTAATTATATCATATAATCCTGCTTGCAAATGAAAGCTACAAAGTTCAAAACTGTCTAGAGCGGTGCATCTTGACATCTGTCCAATACTATTAGTCGCCACCCTGCAGTTAGTTTACATCAACACCACTTATTTTTCTCATCAACTTTTTTTTGCCGTAAATCTGTCAAGTGAACATACGTTAAAAGACAATGCCAGGCTAGCATGTATTAACAGGCTAAAGGAACTTAATGGTGCTGAAGTAAACCAGATGGCATTGGGTCGATAATATCCGCATATCGAAGGCTAACCTACAGCAGCCCCTTGGTCCTTTTTCCCGGGTTGGATATAGTGGCTCAGAGTGACACCTGCTGGAAGACAGCAAGATGATAAAGATGGACATTGAAGGATTTCACATCAGCATCCAAAATACCTCCTTACCATCTAATACTTGCAACAAGTTAGATGTGCACAGCCTTCATGGAAGTATTGGACTCCCTAGAAAATCTGCCTCCTTCGGAAACACATCTGTTGCATCAAGAACCCTGCCTTTGTCACTGAAGACCTTCATTTCCCCTTTTTAGCACCCTCCTTAAGATCTTTTTTCCCCTGTTGTCCTGCAGATTGCAGCCACCCTAACCTCAACGAGCCTGGAGCAGCAGTGTTAGGTCCTGGCCAGCCTGCTGTGCCCCATGCGCCAGGACAGGACACAACGGACAGAAAAGCAAGGGCCAACTCTGATCTGGTTTTGGAAACACTGAATACTCTAGTTTTTATTTTTACATCAACATAACAAAAAAATCCAGAAGTATATGACAGTGAAGCAGTTTAGAAGCAAGTTTGCAAAGATGGCTCCTGACTTGGGGAGTGTCTTGTACTCCATGGTGTTAGACTTGGACTCTGCGGAGGCTGCACGAGAGCTGTAAGGCACCGGCCCCTCAATGCCACCACGGGGAGCCACTGAAAAGGCCAAACATTGAAAAAAGCCTTTCATCAATAGTATATTTAAGCTACTCCAAAAATATCTCAATCCCTCAAAATAAAATAGGAAAAAATGCATTAAAGTCCTGCCACTGTTTTAGCTGCATGTCATTTGAGACACACACACACACATATATATATGGGGGTCTTATTTGAGTTCCTCTTAAACTTCAAAATATTTTATTGTGAACAGCAAGGAAAAAAGTAACCAGGTGGGTTTACTTTCATAAAACAATGTTTTCCCAAAATATTTTTGTTTCAAAGATTTTTGGAAGGAAAAAAGGAAAAACAACAACATTTATAGTCAGTTGTATTTCTGCTGGGTGCACCTGTCAAAAATCAGACCCCGAGTCCAGCCCTCTGTCAAACTGTTTTTAAGGGGATGAGGGATAATTTTCAGAGTGCTTACGGCACTGAACATCAGTGCAATAGACAGCTGCTGCAAATGCCCTGTCAGGACCCCACATAAATTTGTTTGTGGATCTTGCTCAGAGATGGGCAACCATATTTCACATTAAACAGTTTCCAGGTGGATTTCATCAGTAGTCATGCAGACAAAGCTTCTATAGTTTAGACTAGAAGTGGTGGAGGACAAAGTGACATATCTCCACCCAACGGGAAGAAGTATGGCACCTTTCAGCTAGCCAAAAGAGCAGGGGAGGAAGGTGGAGAGGCAAGCATTCCTCAGTAATTATGGCCTGGATACTCACAAGCCAAGAGAAACTAAAAAGCTGAATAAAGACAACTACATGTTATTTTACTGTAATAACTCCCCTCTTTAACGTGTTGCAATTAGCTACCCCAAATTCTCATATTTGCAAATGCAGAAGAGCACACTACCAAGCTGTACATGTGCATATTCGCCACGTGTGAAACTATTTATATTCTACCTCACATTTAGGCAAGAGGGATGGGCAGGTTAATCTTCTTTATGCAGCAGCTGAGCTGTCTCGTCCTTACCTTAGGTAGGAGCCTGAAGAGAAGCAACAGGGCAAAATCCTACTGAACACTTAATATTCCCCACTACAAGCCTGGCTGCAATAGGCAAATCCAAAACAATCCTGTGGTTTTAAGAAAACCTTACAGGATGCCAAATTATCATCTTAGTTTGAAGTAAATACAGCCATTGCTGACAGCAGGGAATTCCAGGTGCAGATCAGCTAAGAGGATACTACGAAAAACAATTCACCTGTTCCATAACTTCTGGTGCCATCCAGCAAGGTGTGCCCACAAAAGTTTTCCTGACTTTATTTCTGGTAATGTCACCACCAGTGGCCAGAAACGCGCTAACGCCAAAGTCTGAAAAGAAAACAAAACCAGATTTTATTAAGAAGACATCCTGAGCAAACTGAAGGGTTGTCCCCCCTTTCCCCCTCACATTCCCAGCCATCCATTAAGTACAGTTACGCATGAGGAATTTCCTAATGAACAAAGAATGATCAACAGTTAGCCAAGAGTGCTGGTACATGAACCGTCTGTAGTCCACCATTCAATTACCGGGGAGAGCAGGGCTTTCAGCGCTGGCCAGCAGAGAGGAAAATTCCACTTTCTGTTACTGGTCACATCACAGCACGCCCACGCTCCCCCAGCGGACCCGCTACTGTACAAACCTGCCGCTGACACCCAGTGCTTTATTTACATTTGTATACACACATAACAAGTCATACCTGAACTTCAATTAGCATCCTGTTAATATCTGCAGCAATGAAGTCGGGTACATAAAGAGTTACTAGATTTTATAACATTTAACTGTCCTAACTGCACCCTGCAGACTGGAGGTATCAGCCCCTTATTCTGGGTGGTTTATTACCAGAATATGCTTTGCTTGGTAATCTTCCATCGCCGAGATGCTCAGTGCTTTAACAGGAATCTGATGATACAGCATCTGTTACTGAATCGAGCAGCACACGCTGCTACCCAGCCCGACCATCCCAGAGGAAGCCTTGCAGACAGGTCTGCATGCCCTGCACAGCGTTACCCCTGCTTGAAGCATTTTTTTGGAAGCTGAAGGATGCTCAAAGATGCCCCATGCACTCGGTGGTAATTTTATTCAAGTAAATCATTCTTTTTACATGAAAACTATGCTTTCAGAGATAACACAGATGTTTTATGCAATTAAGAATGACATGGAAAACAGGATCTGTGAACAGCAGCAGAGATAGCAATGGGATACAGTCTGTCTGTTCAGAGAAGAGCATTACAAAAGATTCGGCAACCAAGTCATTCAAGAGAGGGTGGCAGACTTTCCTCAGAGGAAAAAAAATAACTAAAATCAGGTGACAGGGAAGCTGTAAACACAAAACAGTAGAAGTATTTCTTCCCAGTTTGCTCTAAACTACACTGCTTATATATTGCCAAATTATAGACCTGCAATGGGTCATTTTCTAGAACCCAATTTTATCTACTGCTCCCCTTTTTTTAAACACCGCACAAGCAATCTTGAATGCTATTTTGAGCTTGATGACAGGCTTCAAGGATAAGTCTCTGAAATTCAAGGGCTATTTCACATAAAAACAGAACATTATTGACCCCAACTGGGTTGAAAACTTGAAACTCAGCTGCCTGACATAGTTAACGGTAACTGTAGAGGACTTTTACTCAGAGGAGCCACGGAGTTACTCCATGGCTTAAGGATGTTATCCTAACTGAGGAATCAACTGCAACGAGAGATCCCTCTGCATGATTCGCAAGCAATGGCATCCACGTCAGGACACTCCCAAGCTTCCTCTGCAGCACGCCAGCAGCGCGACGAGCCCCTTCCCACCAGTCGTTCAATATTTGAGAAACACGACTGAAATTATAGAATAACAACATGCTGAAAGCTTCCAGCTCACTTAGGTTAGAGGCTTCCAGGACAGGAACTTAGTGCCCACTAAAATCCTAGACACAGATAACTGGAAGTTGGTATTAAAGAAAGTTACATAGAAATCACAGGGCTAAAATGCAAAATGCCTATCATTAGGGTCCAGCTTCTTCCAGATGCACTCTCCTGTTCCCAGAGATGTCTTGTCTTCCTGCTAACCTCAAAGCTTTAGCACACCTAGATGGATGACTATCCCCGTCAGCACTGCAATCTGTATTTTTCTGGAAACTCACTTTTCGCAACTGTGATTTTGCTTTGAGATCTTCCATGCGTGTATCCCCCATCCCTGCTTTTCTCGGAAAACTGAATGAGCTTCCTAAAAAGTTCAGAGTAAAATGACTTGCACTTTACCCCTCATTACGGTAAGTCGCAAGATCTATTGTTCTAAACATAAGAGCAATGCAAGATCTATTGTTCTAAACATAAGAGCAATTAGAAGTTCTTTCAAATAAGATAATACTAATAGAAACTTGTCCAAGTGCCATCAGCATATTATTGTGATGTGCTGTACTTGAACTTGTGTGTATTATCTTACCTCAAGTTTCCATGCAGTCATTTTGAGGGTAAAGGAAATGCCATTCAAAGCAAAAGCATTCCAGCAGTAAAAACACAAGTCCTTTACACAGCGCGCACAGCGTTCACCACGTTTCACATCAAACGTGGGTTTAAAAAAATTCCAGTTGGAAATTGTGCCCCTACATCTGCCATCTGAGGTCAGCAGAAAGCTTAAACGGAATTAAATTGTATTCCGTTACATGGCTGATTTATTCAATGTTTTCCCAATCAATTTCCCCTCATTTCCAGCGGGCTAAACCAGGCACAACCAGCCTGTGCTACTCTGCTGTAAGGAATGACTTGGAAACCGTCTTCTCAAATGTCATCTTACTAACTTTATCCAAGCCCCAACTATTAAGATAAGAACGCGCCTGCTCTCAAGAAATATCAATAAAATATCAACATATCAATAAAATCCTAACCACAAGTTAGGGTTCAATTCTTACTTCTGAGCAGTTGGTACAATCTGCATCTCTTTCTCTCTGCCACTGTTAACTGCCCTCCGAAAGGCTAAAAGAGAATAAGGTTATTGCAAATGAACTTAACTCTAGAAAATGGGGAAAGTCATGAAATTCAAGAGGAACAATAGCTCAGAAGTGTTTACATTTGTACGCTTCTTTAGCAGCTTGTACTTTATATTGGCTCACTACAGTGATAACTGGAAAGGACTGCATCACCAGAAACTGGGAGGAATTGGAAGTGTTTGGACCTGGCTTGCAATACCAGTAACCACCACTGCCGGGAATCCAACGACTGTCAGATAGTCTGAAGAAGCCCAAAAATTGCAGACTTCCAGCAGTCTGATAGCAAATAATAGTCTCCAGGATGTCTGGATGCAAGTGGTAGGATCATTTTTTTTAATCATTTTTCTGAAGCAATGTAGGAAAGATTCATCTGCTGGACCTGTTTCAGTGATATAAACCAAAGACTTATTTTAAAAAGAAAAAAGTTATCTCCAGACTCTCGTATCACAGCAAAACCAACCCAGAATGGAAATGACAATTCTGCTGACGCAGGCTCTGCAGAAAATATGCCCAATTTTGTCTTTTTCAGTAGAAACATCATGTGTTGCAAACCACATGCCCTACAAAACACTCTACAGTGGCAATGAAGTTGCGGGCTAGTGTCTGAAAAAGCATGGTATTAGGCAACGATTCCTGCTATTAAGGTATCCCAAGTTGTCAAACTTGAAAACTATTCTGGCCACTCAGGAAATGCAAAAGTTGAAAGGAAAATCTCTCCTTACTATTCTGCGTCGCAGAAGCAAAGACCCAGTCTAAACAACTCACCAACGCAAGAATGCCGTGGCAGGACCACATCACAACGGGCACCATTGCTGCTGTGCACGTCAGGAAGATAGATTTCTACAGTATCATAAATTAGATTGGTTAATCCCAATCCAGAAGCCAGACGTTAAAAATAATCTCTCCTTGGCCATCTCATATTGTAACATTACCTTAAACCTAAAAAGCCCAAGTATCTGCTCCTGTCGGCAGCTACCACAAGGGAAAGCCGACTGTGCACTGATCAGGAGCCAGGACCAAAGCCTACTGACATCAGAAAGGCTCCTACAGAGTTTGGTGGGTTTGGATCAGACCCTAAAACAGCAGTTCCCGACTTCAATGGGGGCAGAACAGCAGAATAAACCAATCTTGACTTCAAACCACTCGGAGCTGTTTTTAAACTTGGGTAGCTGAGGTATTATCCCTCCTCAAGCAAAAATAAAAGTATTTCAGAAGACAGCACTAAGTGTTTTTTTCACTGGTCACCTTCCTCCTTCTTCAGTTGTTCACCATCAGAAAATATCTGCAGCTGTACTTTGTGTTTTTCTGCAAATCTTACAGCTTTTAGAGCAGTGAAGATGAATAAAACCTGGCAAGAAGAGGAGGAAGGCAGTAGTAAGTAGCGGTTTTGTGCTGAGAATGCAGCGAGGTGGTAAGACACCAGAGAAAAGATTAGTGAAGAACAAGAATCAAAAACTTCTTTAAAGACTATATGGTTATACAGTGGTATTGGATTTATAAATACACACTTGTTCTCCCAAATTTTCATTTGGAAAGGTATATCTCTACAGGCACGTATCTTTCTAGTCAATTCACATGCAGAATGGCAGCTTTATTTTTACATGCATCACAAGTTTAGCCTTTTTGCAATAATGTCAAGGCACATCAAAGATGTATGAAACCCCTTTGGCAAGTCAACGTAAATATCACATCTGAAACCGAGCCCCAACCGCATGTTAATAAAGATACGTTAATACTGCACAAAGTAACCTAAGGATAACAAAGCCCAGGCTGGGAGAAGCCACCGCCCTTGGAGAAGTTCACAAGCTGTTTCAGCAACCAAATAGCGCAACATCTCTTCAGGAAACGCAGACATTACAAGTGACGCAAAGAACAAGTTACTTCACATCATGCTGCTGCAGAGGAGGGACCAAAACTCTCCACCAACCACAGAAAAAACACAGTTTTGCCCTTTTTTGAAAGGGAGAAGAGGCTCAGAGGTGTCCATGATGCTGCACCGGCTGCTCGAGTCAGCTGTGCAATCAACACTCCTCTGCCGCGGTTAGAGTTGTGCCTTGCCCCTTGTTAAAGCAATTTAATCTCCCAAAGTTAGAGTTTCCTAAGGGAAAGTGGGGGAATGACACTGCCTGCATCATAGCTCGATGTTTATGCAGAGCGCTATTTTAGTACAATGAATTAAGAGCAGTCAGGAACACAGCGAACCGGTGACAAGCTGGCATGGATTTGTGGAAAGTTACACAAATTCAGTTACACAAGTTTTGCCTGGCCTCAACTATCCCCATTTTATAAATAGATAAAGTGAGAGGGGTTAGGCAATTTGCCCAGTATCAATTAGCGAGTCCTGAACGACTTCATGA